CACCTTTTGATAACTATTTTCTTGATAATACCATTTAATCATCAATACTTTTTCTTCGGTAGTGTAATTCATGGCTAATATTTTCGATGTAGGTATGAGTTTTTAATAATAATAATAAAGCACCAATAAAGCACTAAATAGATAAATTTCTGAAATGACAACTTCATTTGACAGTTTTCTTTTACCTTGACTGGTGCTCATAAGTAAATACAAGGCCATAAGAAAGGAGAAATATTTAAAAAGAAATCGGCGATAACTCGTAAACGGGCTAATCAAAAATATCTAAAGTTATTCTTTTGAATGTGGGTTTTAGTGCTCTTCAATAAACCTAAATAGAATTATTCTCTAAAATAATTAGGGAAGCCAATAATTGACCCCATTAAAATTTACTTGGGATTTCCTATGTCCCGCTCGACGATGCAACACCCGGTATAAAATATTTTCAGCATTACAGGGTTGCCGCATCATTTGAAAAGTGGTAGCGTCTTTCTTATTTTAAACGGAACATCCAGTATATTATTACATTTTTGAAAACTACTTTTATATTTCATCATTTTTCTATTATACTAACCTATACCCATCTCTAATAGTTTTTGAGATAAAAAATAAAAAAATTGTAAAATTGACAAAAACATAATCGCGAATAAGCATTGGTAAAATCATGAATTAAACTTTTTTTAAATTCAAATTTGGGTTATAAGTTAACGAAAGTCGATATATTCGATCTGTCTAAATAAACCGATTTGATATTATACAGGGAGAGCAAAAATATTATTTATTTCCATTTGTTATAAAATTGATCAAATCTTTGTTATTTTAAATTCAACTTATTAAAAAAAATCTTCTCCCTGTTTGATATTCAATCAGTTGATTTAGACATATCGAATTGTCGACTTTCCTTAACCTATAAACCAAATTTTAGGTTTCAATATGCCGAATTTATGATTTAACCAATGCTTATTCAAGATCTCATGTTTTTGATTTACACATCAATTTTAAACATGTTTTATTTTTTATTTCGAAAACTATTAGATATTGGTATAGGTTAGTATAATAGAAAAATTTTGAAATATGGAAATAGTTTCGAAAAATATAATAATATACCGGGTGTTCTTTAAAATTTTATGCAATAGTGGAAAAACACTATTTGTAATGGATTAAATATATAATAATCTTATAATAATATTATCTTATATAATCTTATATAAGATTTTTGACGATATCCATATATTATGATACTGAAAGACTATGAGATAAATGCAAAAAAATATATCTGAAATATCATACGATAGAAAAAAACGGCGTTAAAGACGGCTTGGGAATGACCGCGCCAAAATTAGCATTCGTTGTCATTCCCCAGCCGTCTATGACGCCGTTTTTTTCGATCATAGGGTATATTATGCATCTTTGGAGATATAAAATTTGTATTTCTATACCGCCACACATAGTTATAGACATTTAATGTCCATGTATATCTTGATATTTAAATAAAGACCAGAGACGATATTTTCAAAGGCCGATGTTTTTCTTGAATTTCGAGGACACTTTGCACAACCGAGAGCTGACTCCGAAGAGAACGTTTTTAGCTATAGTTTAAATTTAAAGGCTAAAAGTAGAGTAGTGCGAGATACGTTCACCTTTGTGCCGCGGCACAGCGCTTTCATTTCCCGACACGGGGTGCCTACCCACCAGCGAACGTGCACAATAAAAAAACTCACGTGTCTTTCTAATGTTACATTGCAGCCACGTGAAATATCAGCATAAGTGTTGTGTATATTTCTCGGTGGTATTGGCGGTATTGCAAAAATACATGATTACGATATGATTTTTTTAGTCGGTTATTGCAGACACGTTTTTGATAGAGTGCTTTACATTTAGAGATGGATCTACACTCGCAGGCACGAAAAACGGGCACATTTTATATATTGTACTAGCGTGTAACCGCGACTTCGTTTTTTCAGATTTTCCATTAACACACAAACACACAAACTGGATAAAATTTTCTCACATTTGTGTCAGCATGAGGAAAAACAATGGAGAAACCCCTCCTTATCGAACCTCTACACTCCACAGTCAATCCGTTTGCCAAAAATCAGCTCTAAATGTCAAGCAATTTAAGTAGAATCGTGATTACTCAATGGTCATATTTTATGAAACACCCTGTATACATTTTTAAAAATCTTAAAATATGTGAAACAACAAAATAAAATATACGTATTTAAGAGTTTTCCGGAAAACTCACCGGTTTTTAAACAAAACATATTCTAATATTTGAGGGGTGGTTTCACCCCCTTAGAATTCGAGTTTCGAAAAATTCCTTCTTATGGAACCTCTATATCCTAAAGTCAATCCGTTTCCCAAAAATCAGCTTTTTACGTCAAGCGCTTTAAGCAGGATCGCGATTAATCAATGACCATATTTTTTGAAACACCCTGTATCCATTTTTAAAAAATCTTAAAATATGTAAAAAACAAAATAAAATATACCTGTTTAAGTGTTTTGTCGGAAACTTGACTGTTTTTTAAATAAAAAAAAATATTGTAATATTTGAGGGGTGGTTTCACCCCCTTGGAACTGGAATTTCGAAAAATCCCTTCTTATCGAACCTCTACACCCTAGAATCAACCTGTATGCCAAAATTGAGCTTCTTACGTTGAATGGTTTGAGCAGGATCGTGATTAATCAGTGAGTTAGTCACTTATGGATTTTATATATTAGTATAGATTCTAGCTGACCGATTTTGATGATCTTTGAAACAATGTGTAGCTAAATTATATGAGTTTTTAGTATCAGTTTTCTAAATTATAAATGAAAGTTCTCATCTGTAAATTCTACGAGGGAACACACAATGTTGATATTTTGGTGAAAGTTTGGAACATCCTGTGGGATATGTTAAGAAGCAAGGAATATTTGAAAATCATTTTTTATCATCTAGATGCATCTTTTTTCTTTAGTTTATTTTTCGGTTCATCTCAATAGCTTTATTTTTTTTGGAGATATTCGCTTTTGAAGAAGACACTAACATTTTTTCGTAATTTTTACATTAAAACCATGCCTTTGCTTTTGGTTCCGGTTGGAACCTTTGGTGTTACACAGCAAAATAAAACACTAAATCACCACAGTACACCAAAACACTTACTTTTACACTGGACGCGCGTTTCAGATGATCAAACTCTGATGATGCTAACATGGTTGGCGAAACGCGCATCCAGTGTAAAAGTAAAAGTGTTTTGGTGTATTGTGGTGATTTAGTGTTTTAGAAATAAAACTACTGAGATGAATAAAAAAACACACTATCAAGAAAGGATCTACCTAGATGATATAATGGTTTTTAAATTCTTTGGTGTCTTAACATATTCCACACAGGATATTTCAAAGTCTCACCAAAATATCAACATTTTGTTTTTCCTCGTATAATTGACAGATGAAATAATATTGTTACGGATTCCGTGGGTCCACTATTTAAACTCACGATAAAATACTTAACGAATTTATTTGTTTCACTCTGTACACACAACTTATACTATTTACAACACAACTTATGCAACTACTATTACTCTAACGGTATTTCGCGGTATTTTCAAACTTCAGACTTCAGACTATCTTCAGACTTGTCCAACTGTCAAAGCGCGGGCCTTATATACCCCCTGGCGGTTGTTTCTAGATTTTTCTAAAGAATTCTATAATTTTCTTTTACTTTCTGGCGAATGCGCCAGGTTCCTCAATGCACGTTGCGATTATTTAGCAGTATGCAGTTATGCAACCAGTAATACACCTTGACAATATAGAAGGGGATACTAAAACGTCAAATAATTTAGCTACAAATTGCTTAAAAAATTATCAAAATTCGCATTCCGCATTCAAAAGTTGTGTAGTCCTTTAGAGAAATCTGATGTATGTATCCTTCTTATAATTTTTTGACGATTTGACTGTCTCTAATTACATGTAATGAAAGTTATTCTAAATAAAAAAACACATTTTTCAAAAATGGTAATATATCGATAATTTTATGTACTGATATCGATAATTTAAACCATCGATCTATTTTATTACTTCTTAATGCAAAGGTGACCATTGAAATTAAAACTAATATAGGAAAACGCGATTGTCGATTGGCAACAAATTTTTATGAAAGGGTTTGTGGTGCGCGGCGACCAATTTTTGCAGAACGTTCAAATGGTCTCGAGCGCTTTCTCTAACTGATTCGCAAAGAAATATTTCGTTTTGCGGCTATATTTCGATACGAACATCGAAAATTCCCTTTGTCGAAGTTACTACCTACTTTCTATCGCCTCTTCTCTTCACTCATGGCCATATTTTATACTAGAATGGAAAGAGTTTCGGTTAAGAGTCCATTTCACCGAAAAGTAGCAAAATAAGCGTTCGGCATTTAACGTTTTATGTAAAACTGGCTAGGTATTTTTACACAAATTAAAAAGGAGATTAAAGATAAAGGATTATACTATATCCGTATTGTAGCACATTTTTAGACAACTTCTTTAATTCTTAAGATTTTGATGGTCAAACATCAACAAAATATTCCTTATGTTTGGACTAAATTTTGTCGAAAATAAAGACATAATTTAAAATTCCCTTACAATACGGAAATAGATTGAATTTTTGTGATTACAGTGATATATAATTTAAATGGTTTTGTAACAAATTGCTCGCTATTTTATGGCAAATGCTGAAGCTCTGCAAACCTTAAATCAAGCCTTAATCAAAGCACGTGTGTTTGGAATTTTGGGTGTGGCTTAACACGACAGGATCGGGCTAAGCCTTAGGCAGATTTCTAAAATATAATATATATTTCCTTCGGTCATACGCCCGCTTTACACGACCCCTGAGAGCGACCCGAACAGTACAGCGTAATAGACTCTTTTAGTAAGAAGTTTTGCTTCAAATATGCGCACTTAGTTCACACACTATTTTTTTATCGTACTTGAATGTTAAGAATTTGTGTTTTTAGAGATATTAAAAGAGTTTTTTGCTTGTTTCAGGCTGCCGGGGGTGAGCGATTGTGCCAGTGCCGGGCAGAACGCCCGGGTAACCTCCAATCTGCACCCCACCAGCACTATGGCGGTGAGCCGCGTGCCCAGTCCGCCACCCTTGGAAGTCAACACCCCCGTTGCAGAGAACTGGTGTTACACTCAGGTCAGTACCTAGCTAATACATTGAATAATATGAATAATATGATTTGAACTATAAAATGTAATAGTTTTCCCGAAGAGTTGCAGGTCATGTCTCATGGAAAGATAAGAACTATACTAAAAGTTTATTTAACCAAAAATGCTTTTTTTCCGATTCGCATATCTCACTTATGAGTGAGCATGTTTTTTGTTTGTAGTAATTGTAATGTAGTGTGGACTTTTGAGTTAGTTGCTGGGCTACCCATATAGTGCGGTTAGAAAGACTATTTATTTAAACTGAACAATAATTTTCGAATAATACATTTTATATTTTTTTGTTGTCAAGTGTTATTCTCATTTGTTTTCCTTATTTAAGTGTATTTATTTGTGTTCTATATTAAGTCTTAAGTTTTTTTTACTATTTTCACAATGTTCCATGCCTGCGGGCTCTTATAACTTTTGGTTAATCGGAACAAATAAATGAATAAACCAATCTATGCTTATACAGGGTGGCGCACCTCATTCGCCTCGGTTGATTATACGAAAAGGGAAAGATGTAGAAACAAAATATTTTATGGGTATATGTGGGGAGACAATATGCACAATTTAAAATTATTTTGAAATATATAGGGTGTTTCAGAACTAAGATCCATATCAAAGTTATATTCTTTCTTATGAAACACCTGGTATTTTATTTCGTTTTTGGATTCTTGGGCCCAAAAACAGGCATTTATTATAAGGGTTAAATATGTTTAAGTTCTATTCTTTAGTTTTTGAGATATTTAAAGATATTTAAATTTGCATGCTACAATAGAATAGACTATTAACACCCTGTAGATTACTTTTTAGAATTGATTTTTATGCTGAGTTTAAAGGTAGAGAAATAAACTTTACTGAAAAATGGTATTGGTTCCTTAAATTTATACAGAGCTATCAAAAGTTGCTGATCTATTTTAAGGATATATTTTATATAAAAACTTCATTATTTCAAACGCAACACCCTGTATTTTTTTAAATAAATCAAAGCAGGATTCAAATGCTCTTTCAAACTATATTAGGGTTTCTTATTTTTTTTTTAGAATTTAGAATGAGTGGGAGGGGGGTTAATCACTTCGATCTTACAGATCCATTGTGTCCCCCTTTCTTGAATCATAACTCATCATACAGTCCCAGGGCTTTGACAAAAGCCATTATCTGGGACGGTTTTATAGAGGGTAGTTCTCCATCTCCAATATCAGTCGTACCAAAATTCATGGCACGAATGGTTGTCGTCTCGGCGCACTCAGTGATGAGGTGTACTGGTGTTTTTCACCATCTTCCCCACAGAATCTGCATTCGCCGTTTCTTCTTAGTTTCAATCTACTGAGGTGTTCATTGAGGAGACAGTGTCCTGTTAAAAACCCCGTGACACTCCGAAGATTGTTCTTACTCAGACCCAGGAAGATCTGTGATTTTTCTTGATCATAAGCCCTCAGAAACTTCTTCGAGTGTCCTAGACCATTGCAAGATTTCCATTCCAGGTTGCGGATGGAATCTTCCAAGTTCTTGAGTTCCGCCTTGAGCTGGTTACCACTTGGAAAGCAGAACGGTTCTGGTCCAGTTAGTGGGGTGTTCGCTCCTTTCCTAGCTAGATTATTTGCTTTTTCATTGCCTTCTATCCCTTGGTGAGCAGGCACCCAGTGTAGGAGGACTTTGTTTTTTTTGCCTAATTTATTCAGCTTCTCTATGCATTCTTTGACCAATTTCGAATTGATTGATACTGAGTTTACTCGCCTTTAACGCTGCTTGACTATCAGATAAGATGGCTATTTCTTGTTTCCGATAGTTCCTATCTAAGATAAGTTGTACGCATCTCTCGATAGCGTAGATTTCTGCCTGTAGGTTTCCTATACTTATCTAGCTCAGATTTTGAATAAAAAGCGATTTTTAAATAAAATTGCAATCAAGATGGCTGGTGTCGCCATGGCAATTTTTTAGTGACAGTTAGTAACTATTTTCAAAGTCGACATTAGTTTATGGACATTATTATTTATAATTTATAACAGTTTACTTAAATTTACCTACAATAATTTAATAAGTAACTATTCATTATTTTATCAAGAAAAATAAAGCAATATCTGCTGGCGCATGGCGGAACGAATAGATATGTTACTAGTGATATTATTTTGTGAGGAAAATTGCTTCTTGGCCCAAGGGCTTATGCTCAAATCATCCAAATAGGAATCTTCCTGATTTGAGAGCGTTTCTTTGAGAGTTTTTTTTCGTTTTTTTTTGATAGAATAATATACACATATTTAATAAATATTATTTATTAAACTATTGTAGGTAAATTAAATAAAAGTAAACTGGTATAAATTTAAATAAGTCCATAAACTAATTTCGATTTTGAAAATAGCTACTAACTGTCACTAGAAACTTGCCTTGACAACACTAGCCATCTTGACTATAATTTTATTGAAAAATCGCTTTTTATTCAATATCTGAGCCAGATAGGTATAGGAAACCCTAATATAGTTTGAAAGAGCATTTAAATCTGCTTCGACTTATTTAAAAAAATACATAGTGTTGTATTTGAAATAACGAAGTTTTTATGTAAAATAAATATTTAAAATAGACCAGCAATTTTTGATACCCCTGTATAATTTAAGGAGGGAATAACATTTTTCTGTAAAGTTTATTACTTTACCTTTAAACTCAGCACAAGAACTAATTCTGAAAAGTAATGTACAGGGTGTCAATAATCTATTCTATTGTGGCATGCAAATTTAAATGTCTTTAAATATCTCAAAAACCAAAGATTTTAAACATATTTAACCCTTACAATATATACCTTTTTTTGGGCCTAAGAATCCAAAAATGAAATAAAATCTTAGTTCTGAAACACCCTGTACATTTCAAAATAATTTTAAATTGTGCACATTACCTCCCCACATATACCCATAAAATATTTTGTTTCTACATCTTTCCGTTTTCGTATAATCAACGGAGGCGAATGAGGTGCGCCACCCTATATTCTACAATATACAGGGTGGACCGAACTGTATTCCGGAAACTTCGGAAGCATATTCTGCAGATGAAAATAAGTAAAAAAGTTCATATAAATGTATGTCCTAAAATGCTTAGTTTCAGAGATACAGGGTGTAGGAGTTTGATTTTTATTTCGATTTTTTCCAAATAATTTCTATAAGTAACGTCAATATTTGGATGAAAAATATTGTCTGGTAATATTTTGACATGAGAAATTTGATTTAGATGTCAATATTACTCCTATTTGTAGAGAGCGCCATCTACATATTTTTAAATTGTTTGAAGAGTAATAACTTTTCGTCCGTACCTGTATAAAACTCGTTAAAACCAGGGGGGTGACAGTGAAATAGGAAAATTGGAAACAGTCATTAGTGTCATTCTTGTCATTCTCCTGACGACAAGTATGGCCGCCTAGACAAGGACAGCATTGTTTTTGTCTAACTATTGTCTAACTTCACAGTTTAGAATTGACAGATTTCAGTTTCAGAGATAACTTCAGATTTGTTCTAGAACAAATTCGAAAATATTCGACGCCATTTTAATTCATTCCGTTTAGTTTCGTTTTGGAAGTTCAATTTAATATTTCGGCTGAAATTTATAAATATAAAGGTAATAAAGTATATAAACTATATATTACATGAAGAATCCTGGAGAAAATGACGTTTCTGCAGTAGTAGGTATGTCCCATGTATATGAAAAATAGGTAGTAAATAAACACTGTTTTTACATTTTTTAGATGCAAGAAAATGGTGTTATAGTCTCTTTGATCGGCGATTTTTTTGAAAATGGAAACAATTTACAGCAAGGTAAGATCATTTTTAACTATAGCCAACATTAGTTATCTCCAGTATGTGCGACTTATTGTCAATAATGCAATAAATCGGACTGATAATCTGATTATGTTATCCGACTAAAAGTCTCTTTTTGCTTCTTTTTGATTTATAAGCCAGGTCTCTTTGGGAATAATGGACGCTTTTTTTAAACAGTATATTTATATTTTATACCTATTGATATTTTTACATTGTTAATTTTAGTATAAAAAAAAATTGTTTTTCTGTCTTCAGGTTTTTGTATAAGGCTCCCGTTTTCATGTTCCTGTGTCCGTTTTCTGTCCTTGAAGTCTGCGAATACGTGTGTTTATTTACAAATTAATGTAAGTCATGCTTATACCTTAACTAATTTACGTTAAAAGTACATGTAATTAACTAATTGGAATTGAAACAATACAATCCTCTATATTTTATATTTATTTAGTCACGTTGTTCCATATTTCAAATAAATATATGTGAATAAATTATTTTTTGGTTTTATTTGTGAAAAGAAAAAATACAAAATACATTTGAACTGAAAGAGGGCCCGCCATTGAATAACCGGAAACGGAAATGAAAATTAAGCCATCATGTCCTTATCATGTCAACCTGTCAATTGGAAAATTAGTTCTCCAGACGACAACAAAGGCTTTCGGTGGCGTATCGTGTTTCCACGATTTAACACAGAGTTGACACTTCTTTCTAGTTAATTATTTTATGGTTAAAACTACTGATTAAAAAAATATACATTTACGACATTTTTTATGTAAAAGAGGTCTTGGTAAAAATCGCTACGAGTAATGGTTGTCCAGATATTTGGAACCGAAATTATCAATACCTCTCATCATTGACATAAATTAAACATGTTGACTGAATAGTTATTAGACTGAAATCATAAATTTGAAATGTTTTTGTGCCAAAAGATCAACAGAAACTGTTTTATCTTCATTTTTTCGAAGAAAAAATTATGATTAATTTTTTCAATTTTTTTCAATAATGACATGTAATAATGACATGTATTGGCTATTTCCATTCTAAATATCTTCAGAACGGTTGCTCGTAGCGATTTTTACCAAGAAACATTTTTTCCGTTACAAATCAGGGAAATTTATATTTTTTTACTCGGTAGTTTTATACAGGGACGGACGAAAAGTTATTACACTTCAAACCAGTTAAAAAATATGTAGGT